TATATATATATATATATATATATATATATATATCAGTGGGGAACCGTCAAGACCCTGACTTATTGTAAAAACAATATTTACCATTTTTAAATGTTTTAAAATATAGAATTTTAAATAAAAAAATAATTATTACTAATTTTATTTAAGCAATTCATCATTTGAAAAACATCATCTAAATAAAATAAATACAATTTCTCTGAGAAAAACAAACAAACATCCTCTCCAAATCTGCCTATTCAGTGAATGGGTTAAATGAATGCCGCCCATTTTCTCCATATTAGAATGTTTCCGCCTAGCGTCTAGCATTTGTGATTGGTGGTTCAGCTATGAAAATATGGAACGATATTCCGGACAATTTTCAAATAGAATAGCAAATTGTATTTTCAATTGCGTTTTCAATATGTGGACGCATAAATTGTGACATAATCCAAATGCAATTGCAAATCCTGCATTAGCGTTTGCATTTTCGCTTTCGCGAACGCACAGTGACTGCCAAATTTCAAATGAAAAAGCAAAGTCCATTTGCAACTGTATTTCCCATGTCTTAGGAGTTACGAGCCTGTCATATTTAAATAGCAATATTAATTACCACGTCTGCTTTTTCACTCTCGCTGCGTCGCGCATGTAACCTGCCAAAACTCAAATGGAATCGCAATTCCTTTTGCATTTGAATTTCCGATGTCTACATGGAAAGCTGCCAATCAATGTGAGGGGGCGGGGCTATACTAGGGGGCGTGTTTGTGTTGGGAGGTGACGTCACTCACAGACGACCGTGCCGAATGCTCTGATCAATGGAGGTAATCGGTAAAGGCTCCGCTAAAGGCAGCTACCAATCAGTTTCGTACCTGTGTGAACGAACAGACAGTGCAACCTTCTTGGCACAATACATAATTATGTCTTTTTTACCCCAAATGTAGCGATTATCCCCTGCTAACAGCGGGAGCCACAACGGTACGCACAATAGGTCAATATTCACTATAAACCAAACGCTTTTCACCTGTCTCTGCATCTCTCCGTTTACTCTCACTTACACTTTTAATCCGTAATAGAGAGTGTGTCACACCTGCTTCAAGACCTTTTACCGTTTGCACTCCACACGCTGCACTTGTCCTCCGGTGTGTCAAAGATGACTTTTAGAAGAAGACACCGTAAGCTAGGCTGGTATTTTGTTCTTTCCTCCTACAAGGGTATGGGGAGAGGGCGTAGGTTCAAGAGTCACGGTTCGCTATTGAGATATATAGAGATATATATATATATATATAGTAACATGTAAGCCAGGACAAGGAGGAGCGAGAATCCAAATCGGTCTTTGTCAGGTGACGTCACACTCATGAGAATCGAAGCTCATTTTGGGTATCGCCGCCATTTGTAAGGTATCAAAGCCGAGGTGTTCTGTAGTTGGAGAATTGTCTTTTTCATTTGATTTAAAATGGTACGTTCTTGTTGTGTTAAAGTCTGCAATAGTGAATTGCATGATAGAAAAGGTCAAAAACTCACCACGAAGATAGATATTTTAGGTCTCGCACTTGAAAAAAAGACTAAACAACAAGAGGCGTCGCCGCGTCAAGATGGCCTGGGTTGCAGCGGTGATATGCACAATCATCATATTTGCCAACATATCTCCGGTTATGTTCGTTTACCCTC